GATTGGACAATACAGCCAGGATTCCTAATTGGAAGAGCTTGGGATGTATTTCGAAATTTATACTTAAAAGTTACTGCGCCCCATATCCCTTGGACTAAATCAAGGAGGCCGAGAAACTCCCCACTGCTGTTCAGTAGGGAGGTTTGCAACTTTCTCCTCAAGAGAAGAAATGGGGGGATTCAGGTTACTGGGGACTGAGGAGAAAAAACCTCAATATCGAGAAGCTCGGAATACCTGTGCTTCGACCGTCTGTAAGTCTAGAAGGTTTAACGAAGGAAAATTTTTAAGGAGTCTATAAATGGCGCAAACGCTTGTGTTCGTATATGAACCAAAGTAAAGAAAGAAGATGAAATATTCCAGCACTGTTAGGAGACAGTAATGGCTCATCATTAATGGGAGACCACTATGGTAAGCCTCACGTATTCTCAAACTACGTCAGCAATACATTTACCGTAGAAACACCTTTTCCATCAGTTCATACAAATCCCCCACACACTGGACAGCGTGACTGTTAAAGAACTCTATATCTTTGGTCCGCTAATTAAGTTCGACATAGACAAATCCATGGGACTTGATGAACTGCATCGTAGGTTATCAAACGAACCAGCTATCTTAGTTGCGAAACCCTTAAGTATGTGTTTTGATCTATCCGTAGCCCAGGGTCGTTTACCGAAAGACTGGAAGCACGTCAGAGTAAGCCCTGTTTTCAAAACAGATACGAAACATGAAGCTGAGAATTATCGACCCGTTAGCCTAACTAGTATGGTTTTTAAAAGTCTAGAAAAGAGTATTCGGAAGATGTTTAAATGTGTAGATGAAAACCGGATCCTTTCGGGAAGCAAAGTGACTTAAGGGTAGAATATTCTTGTCTCACTAACTTATTAGTGGATCGTGAAAGCTGGTGCGCTCTAAAAGACCAAAAGTTACCGATAAACGCAGCCTACATTGACTTCATCAAAGCTTTCGATAAAGTTCCTCATAACCGGCTGTTATATAAAATAAGAATTGCCGGGGTTGGAAGCAATCTGTTGATATGGATAAAAGAATTCCTAGTTGGGCGCCAACAAAGAGTGCGGGCGAACTCCAGGTTGTCTAGCTGGGAAACTGTGCTTAGTGAAACGTCTCGAGGTACAGTTTTTGGGCCAGTGCTATTCCTCTTATATGTAAATGAACTTCTTCGTCTCCTATCGTCATCGGGCTTGGTACATACTGATGATGTCAATATATGAAACGCGATAAGAAGTGAGGGTGAAAGTTTAGGATTCCAAAATGGCCTGGAAAAGTTATCTGAATGATCTCAAACCTGACAATTGCTGATAAATACTTTCAAGCAAATTGTGATTCATATTGGTAATCAAGGTGCATATACATACATTGTGAATAACATTGACATACCTGTCGTCCAGGCACACTGACTTAAGGGCCATCGTTAGCCAAGACTTAAAAACTGTTGTACACTGCCATGCAATAGTGGTCAAAGGTTTCAGAACTTTATGGTCAATAAGTGGGGCTTTTATTCATGTCGACGCTAAAACGTTCTTGACTTTGTATAAATTATTCGTGCGTCCTAAACTTGAGTACTGCATAAAGCTGCTAGCCATTGACTAAAAAAGGACAGTGAGCTTTGGGAAAAGGTTCAGACAACAGCAACTAAGCTGATTCCTGGAATAGCGAAGCTCCCGTATGATGCTCGACTGGCCAAACCAAACCTATTCCCATTATCATATCGAGGGGCTAGAGGAGACTTGATTATAGTTTTCAAATTGCTTAATGACAAATTTGCACCTGATATGCCCTCATTTTTTTTGTCTTCCAAAACAGAAAATCTACGAGGACACCCCAAAAATGTTCACAAGCCCCGAACGAATTACTTGTCAGCTGACTACCGACTTTCCCATCGAATAATCAACGAGTGGAATTCATTACCTCAGCACGTGGTTGAGGCTGCATCCGTCGACTCCTTCAAAAGAAAGTTGGATCAGCTGAGAGACCATCATTGCCAGGACTAACACAGGCCATCAAGCCTCATGTCCTTTCTAAAGCTGAAGCTGAAATCGGTAGTTCTGAAAACACAATGCTTTTATGGCCATAAGTTAAGCTGCTAACTAACGGTGATTGCTATTCATCCTAACGCGACGTGTTAAAATATCTTTATAATAAACTATTCTTAATTACGATAATCTCGCTTCGTTTTACTCTCTAATAATCTTCACACAGATTTTCGTGTTAAGAATTAAACCAAAAGTTTTGAATTTATAACATGTATTTCCCCACCAGTTGCTACCGCCTTCCTTTTGATTTATTTTTCAGTCTACCAATACCCGGAGGAATCTTACTATTCTTTTAGTAACCTCCAGCGCGCGACAACCTCCCTCTATTTGGCATAGGTATTGGTCCTAACCATACAATCCCTAGAGCTGAACTTGAGATAACTGAGAAAATAGATATTCATCATTTAACACGGAGAAAAGGCCAACACTGGTGAACTTTCATTTGGGAACTAATCGGATAGCATGGCTCAGTTTTGTAGTAGTCATGCCTGTGAGACTTATCTGTTTTATTCATACCAAATATATTGTTCTATCTCCAACCTAAATGTTTTCTTCAGAAAAGCCAATCATATTACCGCCAGTCAGGTATGGTATGTCAGTGTAGACAATGATATGACTTCCACGTGAGGTATTATAAATTAGGTAGTAACATCATGACAAATATACAGTTTTAGGACTAGGTCTATTATTATAGCAGTACTTCAGTACTTGAGTGACCGCGTGTTTCAAAAATGTTCAAGGAGGTTCACTCTTCTATAACCGAACTACTGACCGCGTTGGAAAGATGGACTATCATCCTTGATCGCAACAGGGAGTTTGATGTTTTGAACCCTGACTTCTCAAAAGCTTTTGATAGGGTCAATCATATATATCATCAATAAGCTAAAACGATTAAATATCAGATCGTCTTTAAATGGTTGGCTCACTTCATATCAAAGTAACCGACTTTTTGAAGTCACAGTGAACTTCATTGTTTCTCAGGTTGCCGAATGTTCTAGTGGGGTTCCTCAAGGTTTAATAATAGGACCACCGATTTTCTTAACTTATATAAACGACATTCGTCAGCAAGTATCGTCTGATATATAACTTTTCGATGATGAAGCAAAACTTTAGAGATAAGCTTGGGGAAGACGTGATAAACTGGCATTTTGAGAGTATCTGACTCGACTTTTAGATTAGGCAGATAAGGACATACTTCACTTTAACACCCAGAAGTGTAAGGTAGTACATCTGAAGTATGATGCAGATTACTCATAAAACTAAGGTAACTTTCCTCTAATGGCATCTCAAGTTGAAAACGATCTAAGAGTGTGGGTATCCTATGGTCTGAAGTCTAACGCTACCTGAGTGAAAACATCTTCCAAGCAAACCTTTTACCGGTAACGTCGAAGAATATTTTTGGCCAGTTCGACGGAAGAGCTTGCCACTTAACCTTCGAAAAATTTATCCGATCCCATTTAGAGTACGGAAACATAGTATTTCCTCCCACACTCCAAAAGGATAAGGACACATTGGAACGCATCCAAAGGTGAGCCATGGAATCATTTCTGGGACTCAGATTCAAGTCTTATGAAGAGCGCCTCCAATCACTAGAAATTTACTCATTAGAGTATAGGTGTCTCTAAGGTGACCTTCTAATGACTTACAGAATCGTAAACGCTTCAGGGCGTCCCCTTAAATACCTAATTAAGCTCAGTCCCAACACAAAAATTTGGGTGTACAATCAGAAACTAGGGGCGCAACTCAGCAGAAGCGACTGTAGACACACAGTCTACTACCTAATAGTAGTCAAATGCTGGAATTCAATACAGGTTGAGCTAGTCGAAGTGACTTCCCAGGAGTCCTTTAAGACAAAACTTGACATATTTTTAAGGACTGACTACAGTATCTCAATATTATTTACCAACTTTTTTATTTTTCCCTTTTTTCCGTTAATATACCTAGGTCCCTAACTGGAGGTATCAGTGATCCACTGCTACTAGATATAGAAGTCCGTTGATGGAAAGCTTCTATTCCGTCCAGAACAATTTGAAACATTTGACTGCGCTTCTACGTAAGTTACAGCTCCGTTGTCCAGTGTGTTCAAAACATTTAAAACCAACAAAGGAATTCTAGTCATTGGAACTGATACAGTTCTTCCGACTTTTTTTCTTTCCTTTTCTGTTAACAAGTAGTTTGTTCATTTATTTACTTCCAAAGTTTGAATCGTCATATCGTCATATCACTACAAATAGTACGCCATAACTACCTGTAAAAAGTGACTTATTGGTCGCTATTTCTGACAGCAAATTTCGATGTGTTTGTTTAAACTTTTGCTACTGCTTGTGACCTTTAGAATGAACGACGCGTATCTTCGAATTTTTCTTCACTGTGGGTCTGTTCTTGGGTAGGGGTTCACTGTTATGTGTCTAACTTAAACCATTCTGATTTATGGATCTGGGAGGCTCTTTGAACTCTCAACTTTTATGCCGAGAAAGTAGTCTTTTTACAGTTATTAGAATTCAGCATGCATTAACTTTAAATCCTACTTTCTTATTCAGTTGTCAGAATTTCGTGACGTCCATCAACATACTTCGTTCAGCTTCACGTGTATTTTTCCTCATATGTAGTAAGGTGTACTTATTTCAACTCTATTCTTATCTGGTAAGTGGTTAACCGGCGTAGGCTGAATTTTTTAGTCCACTGGGTTGTTTGTGCATGACTTATGTATCATGAACACAGCGCAAATGTTTAGCGTTTGGCACCACTGAGGGCAGCTTTCATAGCAGAGGAGCTTAGTTATGCTTACCACGATTTACTGGACACCATGCAAATTTGAATATATTGATGTTTTCCGGGTTTAGGCTCACAGTAGTTTTCTTGTGTTTTTTTCTTACAGACTTTTGACTCACGAGGGTAGTCACCATCATTCGCCAGTCGATCACTTAATTTAAATAAACTTCGTACAATATGCATGGGAGAGTTAAAATTATACAGACAGCTGAGCAAGAACGAGCTAGAAAGCTAAAAAAAGATCAAATAAGTAAAGAATTCTCAGAAGAATGTGAGAAGCTGTGGATTTGTCGTGAAAAGGAGGACTTTAATGAAATGCATTTGGAAAAACTTGGTTCCCTTATAGAGACATCGCCAGACACAGCAACCCTGTGGAATTACAGACGCGAAATAATAATGCATCTTCTCCGGAGTTATTCTCACGATCAAGAAAAGGTTTCGAAGTTATTTGAATCTGAATTAAACCTTACAACTCGCTGTTTATACAGCTCACCGAAATCTTATACTGTTTGGTATCATCGTTCTTGGGTTATGAATAATCACACTTCTCCAAATTGGGAATCTGAATTAAAGCTTTGTAACCAAGCGTTAACACAAGATGAAAGAAATTTCCACTGTTGGGATTATCGCCGCTTCGTTGTTTCCAAGGGTAGAATTTCAACAGAGTTAGAGCTTGAGTTTACAGACTCTGCTATAGAAAAAAACATGAGCAATTATTCAGCTTGGCACTATCGTGGTGAACTTTTAGCTTCCACATCTAATGTTTCCTCTGTATCATCATCTGAAAGCCCTAATCTTCAAATCCAGTTGGATAAAAAACAAAGCCAATCTCGATTTGACTTTTCAGTACCAAATGGCGAACTGGATCTTGTTCACAATGCAATATTTACAGATCCTGCTGATCAGAGTCCTTGGTTCTATTATTGGTGGTTATTAGGTCGCGGGGAAAAAAAGGTTTATTTAAGGGAACTGTATATTTCACGGAAGCTGGGAAGATTTGTTCTTGTTTTCAGCTCTGTGAAGTTGATTCAAACTTTAGAAGAGTTGCAGGTTTCCATAAAAGTGTTTCCCTGTGACGGTACAATTTCTAATTCTATAACTTTGACACCTGAGCTTCTTGGGGGATGGAACTCTGTCCTAGATGAGCAGTTATCAGCTGTTTGGTGGTTGCCGCTTAACCAAGATTTAGTATCTCGTTACGCTCCTGATAATGATAGGCACTTGTATCAGTGTCGACCTTGGAATGTCGTAGCGCAAGTCTGGATTAGGAAAGCTAATAGCAATGTAAACCAGGAAATCTGTGAAAACATGCCTGAAAATTCTGCAAATTACTTGTTCCTTCAGTGTTGTATGAATTCTCATCAAAATGAATCATTGACACGTGTCACTCTAGACCCTCTAAGATTGTTAAATCCTATGATTTTGCCCTCACATGATCCAAAAGATTTGGTTGGGGAACTGAATATTGTTCGTGACCTGCTGTCATTTGAACCGAAAAACAAATGGGCTTTGTTGACGCTTGTCAGTCTCCTTCGTTTTATTCGACCGCATAGTTTTCATGAAGAGGTAAACGAAGCGTTAAATGTGTTAGTGTCAGTTGACGCTCAACGTTCTTTTTATTATGAGCATTTGCGATCTTTGTATGCAGCCCTAGATGTTCTGGCCCATGCATATGAAAACCAATCCAGGGAAGTGGTGTTACATCATCTGGATATGAGTTGCTTTCGTAATCTTGATTGGTATGCGTTGATGACCAAAATCGATTTTTCTAATAACTCAATCGTACGAATCCCGGATACTTTCTCTTATTTAATCTCTGTTTTGGAATTGAATCTAGATGATAACCAGTTAGTAACTCTTAACGGAATTTCTCGTCTCCCATCTCTAACCAACCTTTCTGTGCAACGCAATCGACTGTGTACTTTCGAATCTATTGAAGACTTAGTTTATTGCCCTAGTTTGCGCGTAGTGTACATAAATGGGAATGAAGTAGTCAAGTTACCCCAGTTGAGTAATTTGATATCAAAACATCCAGGGTTTCAAAGACAGGGAGATTCATTTTCTTTGGTGTACGATAAAACATTTCACCATTAACGTCACAACTTTGTACAAAATATTTAGATTTAATAGCATAATTCTGATATTTTTAACTTGTGATATTCTACAGTTTTTCATATGTAAATTTCCATATTTCTGCATTAAATATATCCAACACTTTAATACCAAGAGACAAGTACGAAGTATATTTGTTTATTTCATTTAGATGGAGGTAAAATATGTTTTCGGGTTCTATGGGTTAGACGTTGTGTTTTGCTTAAAAATTGGTTACTAAATCCACTTTTTCAGCTATAAGGGAGAGTGGTCTAGTTAGTTTTGATTGGACACTTACGTTCCAACGTCCAAAACAATTGTTCTCGAACAGCCCGGCCATACGTTTTTGCCTCGTTGCTCACTAATCTCAGATTCGGAGCACAAAAGTGATTTACTTAAGTACATAAGAACTACTTATTCGCTGTTGGTACTCATAAAGTAACTGCATAGTTTCACAGAATCCACTTGAATAAAAAATAACTCATTCAACAGGTACTTGAGTATAAGTCTTACTAAGTGTGAGGGCTGATGATACTACTTGGTTGCTTGAATTAAAGTGGGTTGAGTTTCGAACCTGTGACTTAATGGCTGAAAGTTGAACGCTTTCACTACTTACTTTGGGGACTTATCAGGACTTAATACTTATATTTCAGCATTATGCTGAAATTAATCCTATTTTTTAACGCCTGATTCAGCTTAGTAAGATAGTAGGATCATAAGCTCGCAACCACTCTTTCCTGCTTGTTGTTGCCGATTTACCTTAATTCAAAGATATAGAGAATCCAATCACTTGTCACAGTCAAACGTTTTGATTTTGCGTATAATTGACATTAAACCTGGGGTTATCATACCAAAAATGGTCAGCCAAATCATCTTAAGGCGGTTTTCCTAGGCATTTTATACGTAAATGGCTATCAAGAGTTAAACGTGGTTATGTTCCCTTACTTTTCCCGTTTGTATGAGAGCAGTTCCCCGAATAGAGTTTTGACTCTTTCAAAAAGTCGAAAATCTCAGATGGCCATGATCCAATTCCTTCACTTGAGTGATATAACAGGGTGATTTTAGAGCAATTTACTCGTGTCCAAATGTATTAACGGGATTAGTGAGTTTTTGGGATCATTTTTGGGTGAAACATGGAAATCAAAGCTCTTTTTTAGTTTGTCAGCGATTTCTGCGATTGATTTTAAGAGAAGTGTTAACGAGGTTTTTAAGTATTAATTGGTTATACACGGGATTCTTTCAAAAGAATTAGTTGTGCTGCTATTGGGTTAAGCAGTTTCTCCTGTAGTATTTGAGTGTTTTGTGAAGTTATTTTCCATGTATTATCAACTATATTAATTACATTATAAGGACTACAAGCTAATTTAAAACACTTTGCGGTAGTGTCCCAGTTTATTTGCCACTTTGTAATAGTTAAAAAAAATTGAGAAATAAATATAATAAATACATTTTGGTGTTTTTAATTCTGAAGCATATCCCTCATAATCTCCAGCCACTGTTTTTTTTCAGGCTGATAGTAACTTAATCGACTGGTGAAATATATTAATTTGGTCATCCTTGTATTATTACATACTACAACCAGCTTCGCACCAATATGGGTGGAGTGACCTTCCCCAACCATCTCATTGTACGCTAGTTAGGAATCTCGATTAACAACCCTTTTGTGTCTGAAACTCTGTATGTAGCTTCAAAGTTGTATGCCTGGTGGTTTAACTGCATTTAAAGTAGTTTGTAAGGATCGAATCCCTTTAATTTACAATATTTTAGCCACTATCGACAGTCATTTACGGGGAACGTACAGAAAGTTATATAATCTAACTACCCAGATTCCGGCCATCATCAGTAAATGTGGTATGTGCCTTACAACATTGAAGTGCGATCTATCACAGTAAGTGCAAAGCTGTGTATTTGCACCTATCCTTGTTGAGTCATTGGAAATAGTAAACTCCATGCTGCTGTGTAGTTTTATAAGCATTAGTGTGTAGGACGTGTTCAGCCTGCCTTTGGTAGTTATGGGTTGTTGTGATCTAGACCACCTCCAGTGCTACCAATTATTCTAGCCAGGAATTTCGGTGTGGAATTATCTAGTGATTGCAGTTACATACGACTAGCGTCTGTTACCATTTCACAACTTCCCAGTGTGAATGTTGGAGATCGTTAAAGTTAATGGTTCAAGGTATTATTAGTTTTAGTTCACACTTAAAACTAGTGGTGATCTTGGTCTAATTTTTCATAAACAGTTTGATGTCTCTGCTGGATGGGATCTACCTTGGTTGTGTCACTACCTAGACTACTTTTTGACCTCTTTTTGTTATTATTTTTGATAAGTGGTTTCTATTTCTTCACACAGTATTCACTTGGTTTTGCGTGGCATGTTTATTAGTATCTTATTTTAATAAGTATTATCTGGCAGCGTGATCCAAAAATAAAGGAAAAACCCTCTGTATGGAGTGCATAGTGTAAGGTGCATCTGTCTGGGATCTATCATTCGTAACCTTCTAAACGAAGGTAATTAGGTATATTTCCATCTGTTGTTTTTAAAGCCTAACACATGACATTGAAATATCTACACTTTAGAATAACATGAGGTATGAATATATCTGAGCTATATTACCGAAGTTTTGTAATGGTCAATATGTGTGTTCTACGTATCACTTCTAGAAAATATACATTGCTCTGACAGGCAGGTAATCGATAAAACGATTAATCAACAGTGTAAAATGGAAGAGATGATAACTTATGAATTTATTGTATCTCTTGTCGCTGATTATATATATATATACCGTTTTAATTACCCACATTTATGATTATTAATTTACTGTATTTTAGGTGCATCTATAATGAATGGTGATAGTTCCGTTAATGATCTGGAGGGTTGTTGTAGATATAGTACGAGCAAAGCTGGTATGGAAGGTTTAGATAAAGCCACAATTATGGAAATTATATTGGAGAATTCCAAAGGTGAACTTTGTAGAATATATATTATATATATTATATATATATATATATATATATATATATATATATATATATATATATATATATATATATACTGTTCACTTGATAGTTTTCGAAAAGTTCTCAGCTTTCATTAAATGAAATTATTAAATTCTTGTAGATCATTAATCAAGTACGGTTTTAAGTACATGTTTTTAAGTTGCTTTTTAACGTGATCGGTAATTATACAACTTGTCAGTCCCTAGTCAGAATGCGAGATTTAAATCTATTGGTTGAAGGTTGTATGCTTTAATCACTAAGCTGCTTTTTTTATCTGAATAAAATATTGGGGAAAATACTCATTGACATAATTATTGATCTGCCAACTCATAACAACTCATGAAATAAATACTTTATAGATATTCTGCAGTTACTTATTGTAAGATGATGTAGACGTACAAAACAGTGTAGATATCCGATAAAATATAACAACTTCATCCGTGAAAAAATGCGTTGTTGACACTAAGCGATAAAGTTGAAGTTTATTGATGCTAGAAAAGTGGGATAGGTTGATATCGTATGCGGTATACAGCCTAAAAGATCTCTATATTCTTGAGAATCAAGATGTTAGAATTATGTGGTTGGTTAATTGCCTAATTTTAATTTTATTTAGTAGTTAATCAATAGTTTACATGAATTCACATTTTGCTTGTAAGTATCCATTCAAGTATTACGATATTAACTGACGAACTGGATATTTGGCATATTCAGTTCTTTAATTTTTTGGATTTCTTGTCTTATTCCATTTTGAAAGTGTCACTTGTATGCCTGTGACCAAATTATACATATAAGTAGCAAGTTTAAAATAAGAAGAAATGAACATACTTTATCTTTAAAATACTTCGAAATACCATTAACATAATATTGATGATTAATGTCATATTATTTTTAAAAAAATTCAATAGATTGTCAAAGGATGTCTAATTCAGCTACATAGATAAAAGAATAATTAAGTTTAAATGTCCTGTAAACGTACTTATGAGTTCTTTCCTTTGTACTCAAAGTAATTCAGTATATTTATAGCCCAGCTAACGAAAATGCTAATAACTCAGTGGGAGATCATTTACAACTGTGAGTCATTTTAAGCTGTCCTCCCAAACGCAGATTCATTTCACCTAGTGACTTTACATGATAATATCTTGTGAACTACAGTGTAAACGGTTGGACTTTTCGTATGATTGGTGTCTGCTACTAGTGACGTCGTTAAGTGATGTTATGCTTTATTGCGTAGCATGATCTATTGACTCAAAAAGTAAGCCTCCATTTGTTAGAATAGGGGTTTAAACGCCACTCTACTTATCATGGGAAATAATAGGGTTATTTGTTTAACATAGGTCTCTGTAACTCTAGTTGATTCAATAACCTTGCCATTGATAAATGATTGCACTGGACCGGAATAATGTTTCAAAACACCAGCAAACGTTATCTGTATTTTTAATATATTGTTCCCATTCAAAATATGTTTTTCGGCTGTATGATAATACAGGAAGTAGTCTTATACCATATACTTTGCTTATAATGCAAATATGGATATGGCTTAGGTGTCATGGGTAGGTCAAGCTTTCGGATAACTGTAAACAACTTTATCTTTAAACTCACATTTCTTAATACTAAGTAATTAGTTTTACTAAAAAGTTTTTAATTATTTAAGGGTCAAAGTTTTATGAAAATGAACTAAGGCGGGAAAAAGCTCTTCGTCAACAAATTGAACAAAAGCTTAAAATTATAAAATCTCTTACACCAGTGATGTTAAAAAGTGGTGAATTAGAAGTGAGTACTTTTTCTCCTCTCTTTCTCATCGTCTCTTATTGTCAATTAATTATTTCATTTGAAATTTGATTACAAAGTTAATGTAGTCCGGTTGTAGAGACGCCCGAATTCGCTAGTCTGAGATACTGGTGCAATACATCTTAAATTCTTTGAAGTTGATACTTCTTTATCCAATATTTTCCAGTACTTACCGGTTGTTAATCACTAACACTGCTTTCCATTGTCTACATATTTAAATAATGTACTTATTCCTACATGACTTGGAACAAGAGTTTTCCTTTAGTAGTATAGGCTTTCGTCCAAGTTCTCAAATTAACTAAGTATTCATTCATCTGGATGAGAAATTTTTTGTTATCGTAGTTTTGTTATTCATACTTTCACCTGTCATCTTAGTGCTTATTTTAAAGTTAAGTGATAATAATACTTATTATTTTATTCAATATTATATGTTTAGCATAATATGAAATTCTAAGCACACAAGTCTCTTGGATGTGTATTCACTGTTCATTGGAAAACGAGATACTTAATTGTACTGATCATTAATCTTTTGTAATATTGAGCAACTTACTGAAATCAAAAGCTTTTATTTTTTTTTCAATACCTTACTGGAGCTTTTATTATCAATCAGAAATTGAATATCGATCTTCATGTATTCATAAATTTCTCAAATGTCTCATGCTTAAGAAAAAACTTTGAAACTGCATGGTTATAATAACTGATTATTGATTATTTCACTTTTGCATGGTGTACATTATGCTTCTGGTTGTACGATTTCCTAATTGTTATATAAGTGGGACTATAATTTATGGACGGCGTTTGAGCGACGCTTAAGTGACCTTCAGAATGTGACCTACTAACTATGACCAAATGAAGTTTGTAAATCAGCATGAGGAATTAGAACTACGATTTACAGTCGATAATTAGAGTTAGGGATTATATTTAGGGTTTTCATCACGAGCTGACATCAGCTAAAATGCCGAAACGCTATTTAGCTAAATGGACAAATGAATTTCGTGCCTAAATTCAAGTCCTGTTATCTTATATCTGATTAGTTCGTTCAAAAATCTTAGTCTCGGAGTTATACCTTGTTAAATTATAGATGTTCTCCACTGATTCAGCTTTCAATTTAATTTGTTTTAATTTGCAAATTATTTATTCGTATTAGCCCCCAAATGCCCTGGTAAGGTCGAGGGTGGGGAGAGTTAGCTCTCCCCTCAAAATGCTCACATATGACCACGCGTATACAATCACTACCAGGGAAGTCCTACTCACTGCCTTCTCGCACCACGGGTGTTGTTTGCGAAATTGATAGGACGAAAAGCGAATGTCCGGCGCTTTAACCGGGTTGGTGGACACAGAAAGTCCACCTAGGGGAGTTGGAAAACCCTGATTCCAAACCAATGGTGCATATGGGCTCCAGTATTCTGAGGGAATAAATGGCGTATGAATCGATCGTTGGTCACCGGTTACCATGAGACTGTATCTTCTCACGATGCTCTCCACTGTCTTGTGGATCAGACTTTTAGGTCAAAGGCTCTGCGTGTGGCCCCCTAAGAAAATCACCTGCTTCGGTCTGTGCACACGGGCAGTATCACAGCTCACACATAAATCAAGTGTGGCGCATATGTGTTTGGTCCCGCTTTGTACTTATATTTATGTGTTCAAATAAATAAATATTCGTATTAAATTTTGTTGTTCTATCAACTCTTTTTTCTCACATTCTAGGCAGATGCAATACTAAAAGATTTAAGACAGAAACGAGGTTTTTCTCGACTCATCGTACATGTTGATATGGATGCATTTTATGCAGCTGTTGAAATACGTGATCAGCCCGAACTTAGACATCATCCAGTTGCTGTCGGTAGTAACAGTATGTTGGTAGGTTTTAGAAAAGACTATTTATCTTATACTGTATAGTAAAGTGAACAAATACCTAGTTTATCAGTAACAAAAGTAATAAAGACTTTACTGTTTGTGGTACTATTTAATGAAACGGAAATCATACTGGCCATTTACTGTACACTCCTATGCACATCCATTTTTGTCTGAACTGATTTAAGGTAAATGTGGCAACCGTTCACAGCAATACCAGAGATGTAATTTAGGAATCATATTCCTTTTAGTTATAAATTATGTTCTCGATATTTATCCAGTGTCCAGTTGTCAAACTCATATGTGGCACCCACTATTTTCCATCCTATAAAGATGATCTCTCTGATGAATTCGCATCATAAATTACCAACCACTTATCCTCATAGTGTACTAGTCTTGGCTATTGTAATAACCTACAATCATCCGTTTTTAAATATCTGGCTACCAAACAAGTGCCAACTCAGATATATACTTACTACAGTAAATATACGGTATATCAATAATTTCTCTTGAATATTGCTTGATAAATGAAACTTATATGCACATTTGCTGCTTTGTGTCAGAACATTAGGTTTAGGGCTCGTATCTCATGAATACACTCACGTTCGTTGCATTAGTCAACTTTTCCTATCTGAAATCCAAGGTTTTGTCGATATGGTCTGCAGTGCACATCGATTTCCAAACACAATTTATATATATCAGTAGATATCATCAAGTCTTATTGCAGTTGCGCTGTTAATGAGATCAAGCGAATATCTCACTAACTATACAACCCATACTAAGCGTAACAAAGTAGCGAAAATACAAGTTCAGATTTCTTCTGTTCACGGTTGTACTTGTTTCCCTTCAGTATCTTGTTAATACACATACGATGACTAAAAAAATACTCTTTTTGTTTCAAACGAATAACAGTTCAATTACAAGCATCATTTATCAATTCATTTGTCATTTAATCATCTGAATACTATCCTAACTGCAAATATTTTGAGTTATTTATGTGGAAAACCATAAATCACTTATCAGTAATACTTATTTTATCGACCCATTACAATATATTGTTTATCCCTCCACATTTTTCGCCGCCAGGGATTTGTTCATTCTTCCCTTCGCATCTTCTGAAGTTTGCCAAACTATCATTTATGTATGTAATTTATGTAACATCATATGTTGCTATTCGCTTTAAGTATTCAACTTTCATATGTATAATCTTGACTATATTGTGCAACACCACTTCATTTTCATTTAATTTCACAATTGACCGATCACTGGATGGTGACCAATCTCATGAATGATAAGTCCTTCGTAGTGCTGATCGAATTCTATCGATCAATTTGCAATGTGACCCATGTCATGGCCCGAAAAGATCAGTGATACCTTTTCTGATTGTGAAGCTGTGTTATACGGGATCGAATTCGCCGGGGAGCAGCAGTTCCTTCAAGATTTCTAGTACACCTTGCTGACGAGTCTCAGATAGCACAAAACGTGGGTCCAGGGTTTCTTGTCAACTATCTCTATCACCATCTTATATCTCATTGACTTTCACCTGAATAAGTTAGTCTTTGATAACTTTGTAAAAGTCCTCTATTTTACCATAAACTACCACATGTAAAAGTTACCGATAACTATGATTGTACAACTTCGGATAACGGTATCATCGAGAAGAAACTTTTCTCCTCTGAAACGTCTTAATTGTTTTTAAGTAATATAGAATAACTGTACAGTGAACATTATTTTTCATTATGTTTTGCTCTAGTCTACAAGCAATTATATCGCTCGACGATTTGGCGTACGTGCTGGTCTACCTGGATTTTTAGGCAAAAAACTTTGTCCTCAGTTGAAAATTATACCATGTGATTTTGTAAAGTATACTGCAGCTAGTCGTGTAGTACGATCTATTTTAATGGAATACACTGTTTCTGCTGGAAATACACAAAATCCCTGTGAATCAGATAATATTCCATTTTCAGCGGTTAGTTTAGATGAAGCGTATCTAGATATAACAGATCATTTGGTAGACCGTTGTGATTTTCCTATTGAACGACGTACGTTTTGGCCTAGATCAGCACCTGGAGCACCTATGCTGGTTTGTCGGTAATTTTTAAATTTAATATTTATAATTTTACATATCGTATGTATTTATTTATAAATATTTGTATCGGTCATTATGTCTATCCGGCGAAATTGTAGGCAACCAGATAGATAGGGATTTAAAGGATATTAGGCGATTAGGAGTAGCCTGATAGAAATAATCTGTACCTAGATTTCGTGCTCTGTAGGACCTAGCACATATGTATGTCTGCTCAAGCTATTACTCTTCACTTGAGTGCATCTAAGAAACATTAAAATCAACCGTACTGGGGAAATAAATGTAAAACCAAAACAGTGAGAAAAAACAGGTGAATTTCGTTCAACAGAAATTATGACGTAATGCCTTGTTTATTCAGGCTTTTAGATAACAAGTAAAGGTTTGTACAATAGCTGAAGATGGATAATACATGTTTTAAACATGTTAGTCGATTCATGACTTTTACATATTTTTTCGTTTAACATCATTGTATTCCGTTATTCCCAGTCAAGTTTTCCCAGATAAGTTTGATGATTTAAGGGAAAGCTACTTATGTTTCCTACTTTTAGTGACTTATTTTCATTCTCAAGATACCAGAGAGTTGACTACTACATATTATGCTGACTCTTTTATTAGACAAATTGAGTAGATTCGTAAAATTCCCATAAACTGTGGTTTGTTTCTTAAGATTTCATCACTCGGCAAGTTACCGTTTGATCAGTTATGGTCACTTCCTATATATTCTCTTATGTCTAAAATCAAAAGTAATGTTCCATTCATGTCTCCTTCATTTGCACCTTGAATTAGTACTCAGTCAGTCAGAAGTAAAGTAGCACCTAGTACACATGTACATCGGTCTCCAGACCACATCAGAACAGGCGTTTGAAGCGAAAGATCCTGGATTTTTGAGTCTAAATATGAACATCATACATTGGAATCCAGGTATAATCGACTATAAAATCTCAAATAAGATAAAATGCACGTTTTGATTTTCACTGTTGATCATAGTATCAAGTATAATACACGAGAAGAGTTGAGTGAATTTTCGATTGTCATTAATATCTTCAATTGAGCAACAGATCAATTCAGTTACTCATTCATTTATATTTTAACGCGTCTTTAATCCCAGTTTCATTTTCACCTTTGATATTGTTTTTTTTTTTCACACTTATTTGATTTAAATCAACCTTATTTTTAAAAATTTCTTTCATGGTCTTTGGGTAGTTCATTCACCTTTTGTTAGGGTTGACAATTATCACTTTATAATTAGTTAACTAAATCTTTTTTCCTCATATTCCATTTGAGAATTTTAAGCTAGGAAGATAGGGGAAACTTCATAAAATATGTTGAATTAATGCTGATATAGGGTATTTTATTTAAACACATAAATATTAGTACAAGGAAGCACCAGATGCATATGAATAATTTTTTCTGGTTAGCGTTTTTTAGCGAGTTGATTTTCTACGGGATGGGGTCGCTAACCCCATACCCAACCCTCCTCCTTTACCTGGGCATGGGACCGGCAATAACCCCCGGAGGAGCTACAGGCGTAGTTACCAGATACATATGCGCCTCATAGATCTCATTTGATTTGTGTGAGGGCTGTGATACTGCCCAGGTGGTTTTCTTAGAGGGGCCACACGCAGAGCCTTTGACCTAAAAGTCTGATCCACAAGACAGTGGAGAGCATCGTGAGAAGATACAGTCTCATGGTAACCGGTGACCAACGATCGATTCATACGCCATTTATTCCCTCAGAATACTGGAGCCCATATGCACCATTGGTTTGGAATCAGGGTTTTCCAACTCCCCTAGGTGGACTTTCTGTGTCCATCAACCCGGTTAAAGCGCCGGACATTCGCTTTTCGTCCTATCAATTTCGCAAACAACACCCGTGGTGCGAGAAGGCAGTGAGTAGGACTTCCCTGGTAGTGATTGTATACGCGTGGTCATATGTGAGCATTTTGAGGGGAGAGCTAACTCTCCCCACCCTCGACCTTACCAGGGCATTTGGGGGCTAATACGAATAAATAATTTGCAAATTAAAACAAATTAAATTGAAAGCTGAATCAGTGGAGAACATCTATAATTTAACAAGGTATAACTCCGAGACTAAGATTTTTGAACGAACTAATCAGATATAAGATAACAGGACTTGAATTTAGGCACGAAATTCATTTGTCCATTTAGCTAAATAGCGTTTCGGCATTTTAGCTGATGTCAGCTCGTGATGAAAACCCTAAATATAATTCCTAACTTTAGTCATCGACTGTGATTAGGACTTTCCTGGCAGAGGCTATATACGCATAGCCATGTTAGAGCATTTCGAGCGGGAGAGGGGACTCTCCCCACTCTTGGCCGTACCAGGGCTTTTGGGGGCAACAGTGGCTAGCAGTGGAATTCAGGACGTTCGTTTCGTCAGCTGGATTTACTTGCTTTTCAGAGTTTATGTTTACTCTGAGACTCGAACCCAGTACCGATCGCTTCAAACGCCATCGCGCTATCTACTCAGCTGATATAGAGTTTTTCATTAGGTATAAATGGATTTAAATCACAGTGAGTTATATAATTGCAAATAAATGAAAAATACTACTATGATTGTTGTTGGTGAAGCGAAACAAATCAGATGAACAAAATACAAAGGCTAAGATAAATGTTTTGCTCAATTTTAATAAAATCATAAAATATTCGTCTTGAAAATACAAGTTTCTTCATAGTCAATAGTATTAGGCATTATTATTTGCCTAATTTGTGTAGTTCTAATTGAAAGTCTAGATTTCACACCGATTGCTTCTATTTTTCAAACGTTAATCCACTTATCGAGACATAGAACAATGGCTCAGTGGCTAAACTGTTTGACTTTCAGCCACCCTATCTACTTCTGTTTGAGCTACGGAGAAGTATCAAAACTCTCACATTTAAAGTGTGTCCCGAAGTCGAGTAAATTAGCCTGTACCTGCTGTATGAGTCAATAAAAAAACGGCATGTAAATAACAAAATGGTGTCATTTTCTTCATACTGTAATTTGATGCACAAATCTATGCTTAGTTGTAGAATAAAAATTTGTGTTGTGTTGTTGACTCACTATTCGGTCGATAAAGAATAGATTTTAAGTTCTAGAATTGCTCTGTAATTGTAATGAAGGAATTATACAGATATTTATTGTTATCGGTGAAAATGATACTAGGTGACAACTATATTTTCTATTTTTAGTCGAGATTACATGAATCATCATAATTTGTACCATGTTCTTGTATGTTTCAAACCACAGTTCAAGCTGATGTCATTCAACTTAAAAGTAGTTCCACTTATAAATTCTTGTGATACATCGCGTAACACTATGTCTATGTATTCATCGAGAGTGACCTATTGTGTAATTAAGTAAGGAGTAAAGACAGTTCAACGAAGGAAATTTTCATTTTGACAATATCATTCACAAAGTGTACAATCGTATTGTCAGTGACTTAATAGATTTAATAGTATGTTAAAAAAAGAAAGTGATTACATCATATTTTCCGAAAGTTTCAATTGTTATAAGCTAGTTACGCAACCGTCTCGAGTTTAAAGAAAAACGATGAAATGATAATCGTCCACTTAAAGAGATAAAAAATAAATTTAAGACGTCAAGGTGATAATAAAAATGACAAGGGAACTGGAAGAAAATATTAACAAGTTTTCGTAGTATCAAAAATTAAAAGCTGTAAATCTATGATAAAATATGTTTTCGAATTAGCTGCGTTTTCATACAGAGTTCTAGTTAGAACTGATGAATTGCAAATGCAATCGAGCCCAGTCGCATGGCTGTCTAAATGTTTTTCAGGACATTTTTGATAATAGTATGATCCGAATTCACGAGCTATTCCAATCTACTGGGCCATTGAAGTCTTTGGATTCTGTTGATAGCCACGCATAATAGTGCCTGAAGGAGCATTTATAAGGTGCTCTTTTTACGACCGATGCAAAACCGGTTCACGAAAGTAAATAAACTTAAAGATTAACATTAACGTGGTTCGAAACAGGAAATTATCCTTTGCACATCAACGAATTAGAGGCTGACTGGAAAAGATAATATGAGGCTAAGTTAAATAAAACTGAACACTAGATCACGATTATGACGGACTTTTAAATTATTCCTTTTTACAAAAAGTCATGTTGTTATGTGTCTTACTTTGTAATGTATTCAAATTTCACTCCATCTGTTGACAATTTACCAACTGAATATAATGAATAAAACAATCTCTTCTTTCTGTCTTGTTTTTTTCAATGTTTTTTATGAAATAAATGTCAACAATAATCAGTAAATTTTGTTACAAATCTATGACCTAATTATTGAAACACTCAATTTTCAACAGGTCAGAAAATTGAACTCACTCCACAAATCCTGCTCCTTTGATAAATTTAAATAAAGTGGGAGGATTAAAATTTATTGCAAATCTTATTCTTTTTGCTTCATTTAGTTCAATTTTTACAATCCATACACAGTCACTAGCCCTTAAAGTCAAACACATGAAACTTGTAGTAAAATAAGTAAATCACATTAAAGTGATTTTTATAATAAAAACAATTAAATAATATTAATATTTAGATTTATGAGTCGATTTAAGCTAGATCACCATTAAAAACCTGGAGGAACTGGACGGCCGTCTCGTCCTAGTATAGGACTCCTTAGCGGTGTGCATCCACGATCTCGCACACGGGATTCGAACCCAGGACTTTCGGTCTTGCGAGCGAACGCTTAACCTCTAGACCACGATATTGTGCGACCGTCCACCATTGTCTCCACTGAGTAACTGCTTCACAACAGAGCCGGTTATACTCCACTGGTCACGGCTTCTCATTAGAACTCCAGGACTGATCGAAGTTAGACATTATCACCGCTGGATGCCGGCTCGTTGGTCCAGAGGTTAGGCGCTCGCGCTAAAGACCTAAGATTGTGGGTTCGAATCTCGTGCGCGGGATCGTGGATGCACACTGCAAAGGAGTCCCATACTAGGACAAAATGGCCGTTCAGTTCTTCCAGGTTTTCAATAGTGTTATCGCTTAACTGGAATCATGAATTCAACTATTAATGTTTCTACAATCTCCACAAATTCCCATTCTAGATAATATTATACAATCTTGAATATCGTCGTCTATGATGAACTTTTGTGATTCTGTAAGCAATGAAATCACAATAACTTATTTATATCTGTTATAATAATGAACTATATGTCTGTTCAATTATACAATTATTTGGTTCAATTTAGCTAACAGTAGACTTTCATAATTGACATTGTATTCTTCCTCTACATTATTTCTTATTATTGATATCATACGAAAAGAGTGTAATAATGTGGTTTTTCTTTTCAAATCACTACACAACTCATTGTTAATGATTGGTATGAAAATTTCCTAAGGCGATTAGAGAATAATTACATGAGAATGAATAAAATTAGATTTTAAGATGGAATACATTCGAATACGATAAATCAAGTAAGATTTAAGTGAACACTTTTAAGGAGACTCGTACTAAAATGAAGCAGATGACCGGTGTTTAATGGTCTTCATTTTGATGGAGTTCTGTTCTCTATGCTGATTGGTTTAATCGTGAGGCTTGTTACGTTATTCTGAACGACATCAGCAAAGTAACGATATAAGCTCTGCGACCAAACCATCTAGCTCAAAGAATAAAACTACCAAAATCATCCATCTGAGCTGCAAATCTCCACTGGCCTTTATTGTTTGTCTAACCAAAGCCTACCTGTAGTGTGAACTTCAAATCCGACAGTCTGTACGAAATCCTATAATAATTAAAAGTTGAAGTAAAGTGATCAGTATACAGGGGTATTGATCAATAAATGACTAAATTGGAACATTTAGTTACATAATTAACAGACTGCAAAATAATATAAGGGAATTTGCACAATGTCGACAAGAAGTCGATCATCGAAAACAGTCATCTAAGAATAGAACGTTATAGTTGGACGATAAAAAAACGAACATAAGTTTTGTAAAGAATCAATGACAAATACGAGAGTGTAATAATTCATTTGTAATCTGCTCTTCTGTTGGGTGTTTTGGTGCTCAATGTATGGAGGAAGGTTATGCAAGTTTGTTAAGATACAAACCTGTGGCTTGGTTATGTATAAAAGATCATAAGGCAAATTTTGTGGAATCCGATGGATGTATTTGAAAGGTTACGTTCATATCCACTTGATGACTAGTATCATTTAGGTAAATATAGAGCTCTTAATTAACCTCGTTTGTCGCTTGCCTAACCAGGTAGAGTTATTATTACTATTATTATTGTATTATCATAAACATTCCTTTTAGTGAATTATTTACATCGAATATTCATCGTTGCTTTTATGATATACCATTTAAAGCTGATGTTAACTATGGATTACCCCCCGATTTTTTTCTATTCACTCTAGTTGTCGGTCACGTTCTAAACATCCACAATCTCATAATTTAAATATTAGCTGCACCAATAACCAAATTCCTATAGATGATAATTCTGAGAGCAATTCTAATTCCTGTCCAGAAACAGATAAATCATCTGTTAAGCTATCTGTACCTATGATAAAACCGAAATACAGTGATCCTGAATTAGATGTATGCATTGAATGTGGATTACTTTATAAATCTGGTCGTCGAATATTTGGTTTATCAGCTTGGGAAGCTGTTCGAGAAATGCGATTTCGTGTGTTTTGTGCTACACGTCTTACTTGTAGTGCTGGTGAGTTAATATTCTTATTTACTAGTTCTTTATGTAGTTCAGTCTTTATTGGTAGTCATTAGACCAGGTAGACATTTAACAAACATGGTTCAATTTGGTCACACCCGACCATGAATGATCATGTGATCTTATTTTGTACGCATAGTCGCATGATTTTATTTATGTTTTAAAAATAAATCTAACCAACTATATTCAATAACATTTGGATATAATTAAAAATTAGACTTTTTAAGGTTCTTTAAAACTAATCTTGTCATATTATTAAATAAGGTCTTGGTCCGAATACATTGATTGCAAAAATTGCCTCCGATTGGATAAAACCATGTGGACAACATGAAATCGCTAATACATCAGAAGCTGTCGATAAATTTATGCAAACTATGCCTGTGAGAAAAGTAAGTCCCGTTGCATCTACTTGCTTTTCATTCCGATTTGTACGCATCACACTTCATTTCAACTTCCCCTATCTTGTATATACACTGTTGAATTACTTTTATCAATTAAAATAAAGTTTCCAGACTAAAAAATTGACGGTGAGTATAAAAAAACATTAAAGAAAAAGTGATAATGATAACGATAATAATAGTAATATTAGAGTTAAGATTTGTAGACCGTGGAGTTTTCGTTGTTCAAATCACACACTGGCTAGATCAACATTGAAAACCTGATAGCACTGGACATCATATTTGTCCTTAGCAGTGGGCATCCACGAGTGAGACGATTACCCACCACAGACAATAGATGAGGGTTAAGCAGTGTCGTGGACCAACTGAAGCTAGATGTTAGTACCGATGGATGGTGTCTCAGTGGTTTTGGAGTCAAGCGTTTATGCACGAGACAGACGATCTTGGGTGCCTGATTATGGATCCACACTGGTAGGGAGTCTCATACTAGAACGAAATGGTCGTCCAATGATTCTAGGTTCTCAGTAGTGGTCTAGTTAAAATCCATTCGCGGTTTTAACTTTGAAAACAATAATAATAATGATGATGATAATAATAGAACATGAAATAAAAGAATGACCTAACTATAATGGTTAAATTGATGAAAAGTCCAATTTCAAAATGACGGAACTAGTTATAACAACAATAAAACTTAAATAAAATGAATATTTCAAGTGTTAGTGTGATTAAATGGAAGTTGGTAGCAAAGATGAAGAATGCTTGTAAAGGTTAGGCGCCCAAAAAGGAAAACTTTGAACATCTGAAAAGGGAGAGAGAGAGAGAAGGAAGGGGAAGAAAAATGGCATGAATCAGTCATCATGCCAGTGGTAGGCGAATCAACAGTTATTTTTGTATACTTAGATTTCGATCAAAAGATATTGAACCACATATGCAATCTTTAATTATCAGTTATTTGTCCACTTTACCAAACATTAACTAATCAAGTCATTCTATTAGACTGCTTGTTTAAAAAAAATAACGTTTTGTAAATGCGATATTCAATACCACTTTTCTACTATTAAAGGTTCCAGGAATTGGACATGTTACAGAACGTCGACTAGATGCATTTGGAATTAAAACATGTGCTGATTTAATTGATAAACGTGGTTTACTCTGGCATGTAAGCACTAAAACATCGATGATTTACTACATGCGTATTGCATTAGGATATTCTGATGATCGTTGGTTAACTAATATAAAAAATCATTTTGATGAAAAGTCAAACAAATCTTTTGGATTTATTGATAATGATTCAGAAAACAGCGTTCCTTCTATACAAGGTCAAGTAGAATTGAATAGAAAAAGTATGAGTGTAGAAAGGTTAGTTTGGATAGTACATTCTTTATAGGACATTTATTAGCTTGTAGTGTATCTGTTTACGGCTGTTTACAAATGTAGATAGTTTGATTAGATTATGCAAATAATCTCATTCTCATTTGTTTTAATACTTAATATGATCCTACTTGTAACATTCATTGGTTTATCAATCTAAACTGTTCGTTTCTATGATTTGTTAGTGTGGAGTTACGCTTGAAGCGTGTCATCAGTTAACTTGTAATTAATAAATCAGAAAGGGTTTTTGTGGAGATTTCAGTATTTTTCAAAGTTGAAATCATGAGTCAATTCAACCACATCTGTTGTGAGATAGGAACTCACTGAAGACATTTGGTGAACGGTTGCTCAAACTTCGTGGATCGGTTGAAGTTAGACATTAACACCGTTCGATGCCGGCTCAGTGGTCTATCGGTTAAGGGCTCTGGCTCGAGACTGGTAGGTCCTGGGTTCGAATCTCGCGAGTGCGGGATCGTGGTTGCGCACTGCTGAGGAGTCCCACGATAGAACGAAACGGCCGTCCAGTGCTTCCAGGTTTTCCATGGTGGTCCAGCTTCAATTGACTCATGATTTCAACTTTGAGAAATTAATAAATCATAAGTTTGAACACTTATATCTGTGTCATTTTTGGAACCTGATTTGTATACACTAAGATAGCCATTTTAAACATAGCGAAGAAGTCTACTACCTAATTCGTATTTAGCCAGTAAGTTAAATCAATTTTTATAGCCTGTAAACAATTTGTTTGTATTAATTCATAGTAAAATCTATTCAGAGCAACTGTTTTCCTGGAAATGTTCATGAAGAATATGTTAACCTATTGATTTATTAATATATTCGGTTTACTCAGTGCACTTCTACTCTAATACGAAGTTGTTTGTAAACTTGGGTAAATATGATTACACATAATAATAATAATAGTAATAATAATAATAATAATAATAAATCTATTCATCACTTATAACTTGAGTGGATCAGTGAGAAAAGTATGTATAAATCATGCTGTGTATAATAATCGTTTTCTTTTGCGCCAAACTCTTTTACAGTTAAAAATAAGACTTTTAGTCTCGTTATATGACTCCATTTAGTGATGATATTGATGAAGTATTTCTTCTTAATTAGCCGTGTAAATATATGTCTAACTGAATCACTTTAATGATAATGGAATTAAAATGTGTTTAGGATGCGTATATTTCATCAGTTGATACGATAATAGTTGGATGCGGAGCGGAAAGACATTACTAATCATATTCCTAAAATAAGTTTAGGTTTCAGCTCATATTTCACTTGGACATAGAGTATTGTAAACAAATGAATATAGACAAGCTTATATATATATATATATATATATATATATATATATATATATATATATATATATATACTTGGAAGCTGATTTATTCTCTTCCACAATAGGCTGTTGCTGATGATTTCCGACCAACGGACATTGAGTATCTTGAGTCGAAAATTGTTTATTTCTACTTCTACTTCTTTGATGATGGTTGTAGTAGTTCTCATCGTTTAAGCTCCGTACAGTAGGACTATCTTGACGTCAGCATTGAAGATTCTCACTTTGATATTGGTTGACAGTTGTTTTGAGTTCCATATGTTCTTCAATTTTAAGGATGTTGCCCTAGCTTTTCCAATATTTTTCTGTACGTTTTAATCCGATCCTTCTTGTTCATCGATGATACTTTTCAGGTACGTGAAACTGTACACCTATTCCAGAGTTTCTCCATCAAGTGTGATTCGGTTGCTTTCCTCAGTGTTGTATTTGAGGATCTAGATTTTACTGATGCAGAGACTTCCGCTACAGTGGTTGTGTTGACCTGTATTGGCTCATGTGTATGGAATAAAAGGGTTAGGTCATCTGTGAAGTCCAAGTTGTCTAGTTAATTCTGAGCTATCCATTGTATTCCATCCTTCCCCTCAGATGTGGATATCTTCATAATTCAGTCAACCACGACAAGAGGAAAGAGCGGGAGTAAGCAACCTTATCTGACTCCGGTCCTCACTTGGAATGAGTCTGTCACCTGTCCTCCATACACAACGTCGCAGTGTAGTCCATCATATGAATTCCGGACGATGTTAACGATCTTCTCAGGTACTCCATAGTATCGAGCAAGGTTTCATAGAGTTCTCCTATCCACACTATCAAACGCTTTCTCACAGTCAAGGAAGTTAATGTATAGTGACGAGTTTAATTCAATTGGTTGTTCAACGATGATCCGCAGTATCGCGATTCAATTTGTACATGATCAATCTTTACGGAATCCGACCTGTTGATCTCGAAGTTTGGCGTCTATTTAATCCTTCATGCGGTTCAGCAACACTCTATTGAGAACATTTCCCGTTACTGACAGTAATGGGATTTCTCCGTGGTCCTCACATTTGCTCAGATCTCCTTTCTTTAATATCTTGATGAGATGTCCTTTCCAGTCTGTTTATGGTACTTGTTCTTCCTCCCAAATCCTCCTGAATAGAACAGGAAGCATACTTGTAGTTACTTCTTTGTTTGACTTTGGAGGTTCATTTGGTATATTGTTAGGTCCTGCTGCTTTTACACTGTTGATTTGTCTGATGGTCGGCCATCCTGATTGCTTCGATCGTTGGTGAAGTGACAACTATAAGAAGGTCTGTAGGTGCTGCCTCGATTTGCTGTGAATTCAATGAAACTGGTCTACTCAAGAGTTCCTTGAAGTATTCTACCCATCTTTTACTTTGTTCTTGAATCTTTGTGTTTTGCTTGACTGATTTCTCAGGTTTACTATATTTCCCTGCTAGTTTCTCTGTTGTGTCATATAATTTTTTTTTTGTTTCCTTCTCTTGCAGCTTTTTCCACTGTTGTTGCTAGCTATTCCACGTATTTCTGCTTGTCGTCTCTAATGCTCCTCTTCACTTGCTTGTTTGCTTCTGTGTATTTAGCTTGTACCTTAAATTTCTTTGCTCGTGTTCGACTCTTGTTAATTGCTATCTTCTTGTTCTTCCTTTTTTGAATTTTGTCTAGGGGAGGATCTACAGTCAGAGTTATTCTGCATTATGTTTGGAATACCTAGACAATTCTGTAGCCTCAGTAGTGTTTATTCGTTTTACGCTTAGTCTTTAATTTAAAATTATATTCTTTATCCTGTCGTTGTCAAAATCTTTTTGAGTTTATTCTTTTTGTACCCAGTTAGGTTGTTGTTTAAACCCCGAGTTGCATTCTTATTGAAAAGATTTTACTTCTGATATAGTTTAGTCATATAATTATTTGACTGTTTCTCTACACCGATTATCCAAAATTGTCCACTTGAAAACAATCATGGTAATATGGTGAATTATGTTTATTTTTTCACTTACAGTGCTTTAAATTGTATTTATCACTTAAAATATCCTTGTTAATTATTATTATTGTTTTTGTTGTTGTTTACATTTCCAGAACATTTTCAGACACATCCGATGAAAATGAATTAATGCATCGTTGTGAACAACTTTCTCAAATGTTATCAACTGATTTAAAAGAGGAACATGTCAAAGTAAGAATATGTGTAATAATTAAGTTACATTTTACGTAGTATTACTGTTTAAAAAAATAATTTAATATTGTATTTGTGTAGCAAAACTCTTATGCTGCGGATTTTCAGTATGAATACTGAACTAAGTCGTTTGACATCATGGTGGATTAGACAATGTGACTTCGAATAAAATTTTATAATAGAAATGTTACTGACACTTTGAATATCTCACTAAGACATATGGGTCTATGGATATCCGAGTGTAGAAACTCCCTTAGTGAAGATAATGTTGATGGATTGTCTCCTCTTCATTTTAATTTAGATTCCATTATTTTTTATAGTTTTTTATAATCGGGAACATAGTATGTACTTACTGAATCTCCTTTTTTTGGTTACTTCATTCAAACGAAGTTAGATATTTTGTCTGACAGATCGATTGCCTGTAGATTCATCAAAATCATACTATAAAGGCTATATTTCAGGGTGATATAATTATATTATTATGTTTCGATTATTGCATAAAATCTGAAATTATATGAAATTAATACAATCTGTCATTTTAAAATACTTTTGACGTTGTCAAGGCTAAGTGGAAGTGACACGTAGAAGCCTCAGAACTCGAGTTGACATGTGTTACAAATGAAACTTATTAATCCAGACGCTGTACAATAAATACAAACACATATAACAATGACAACTATTTATGGAAATCTCAAATTTTACTCAATTTACAACAATAGTTCAAAATATCCTAGAATCACTAATGAACGCTAATCAGTAGCTAAGGCAAGTAATTGAAGCAAGATAGCAACAATATACCTAGATGACATATGTTATCAAAAGGTTCAAATCTCATTTCCTTGACTTAGACTTTCATAAAGAACTAAAGCCTTCATTCATGAGCAAGTCTCAAAAATACAGTAGGAGAGGTAAGAATAAAATGCGAAATTAATGATTTATTGAGGTAAAAGGACGCATTAAATATATGAATAAGAAAAGGACGTGATAATACAATATCATATGACTTTAATCATGGATTATTATGATCATGAGATTTATATCCTGTCTTCTTTTTTATGTGGAAACTATTTGTTGGAGGTTGTTTCAGGATATTATACACCTGAATTTGATGCTTACAATTATTTTAACGTGGTTAGCAGTTTGTAGATTACGGTACTGAATGATGTGACTCCTTTTGGATCACGCGGATCACTTTACTGTGATTGATTTACACATCATACAAAATAATGAAAAGAGAGATATTTCGAACTAAGTATTAATTAAGGAATTAGATGAGATCCTTTATTAATTATATATTGAACATTTACTGACTGCTGAATAATTACGCAATTGTAAAATGCTTTGAGCTATTTCACTAACTATCTGCAATCACTCATTTGTTAATTTTCAATGAACGATCTGTAGATAATATGGTCTATTTCACAGGCCTTTGGCTTCATAAATTGACATTTTCTTCATCTGGTTACTCTTTTCAGAATTTATTCTTATTCCAACCCTGAACTTTTCACCAAATCAAGTGTTGCATAAAGACTGGCCTGGTTGAATTTCTGGACTACTTACCTTCCGATTTCTTAAACTGATTATCTATGTCATCCGCCTGACATTCTCAAATGCCATTATAAAAAATCTACAGTCTATCTCAAAGACATTCACTATTAAATTTAAACTGAACAGTCGCGGTGATCGAGTTTTTTGTCTTCCTCGTATACTCTTTAACGAAATGAATAGTTTTATTTTACCAAAGACATGTAATATGTTATGGTTTAAAAAAAGGATGTCACAGTAGCAAAACTGGTCAAAAAGGTAGGCCAATGATAAGGTCAGAGGTCAACAGAAAAATACATTTTATATAACTGTGAAATAAATAAAGGCAGCAAAACCTATGAAGGCTGGTAATTACTAACAAGATTGTCAAAACAAAATGATGTAATAGTTGTAGAGTAACTAACATACTCACTTCTGCATACAGTAGGCACTGATGATACTATGAAGAGTGACAATTTAATCTTTAGCCATATAGCTCAGAGAACAGTCCAAAACAATCATTTGAGCCGCAAATCTTCCTCATCATTGTGTAAATCAATCTGTTAAACTATCTGAGTGAAAATAAGATAAAAACAGTTTTAGTTGAAACAATTAACTGTTTTAAGTATTGAAGTGCAAACTACGCACTATTTATTTGTCTCTGACTAGTTCATATTTAAAAATTATTGTATTTATGATCGAAGAAAAATTAATATTAATATTTGTAAACCAACTGTTATTATTTGTGATGGATTCAATTTCTTTGATTAATAGGAAAATTAGGACAGAAACAACTGTTTCTCTAGTTGCTTACAACTCATGTTAATGTTGAAATTTTTAAGTACACACATCAGAATACTTTCGCAGATGAAAACGTATTGATATAGTGATTGTTAGCAATCAAATGAGGTTAGCAAGATAGATATGACACATAACAGTTTAATGTCCTAGTGAAATCGAAAATTCTGATGCATCATTAAGGATACTACTATCACTAGTAGTAGTAAACGACCATTGGGTTTAAAATGAGCAATTGTGCATTTAAGTAAATAAATAGAAATTGATGATTTGTAGGAACTGGAGTCAAGTCCAATTGAAATTATGGTAAAAAAGAAACATAGAAGAGATGGTTCACTTGTATTGGTTGTTTTAATCTTCCCAACGATATTTAGGGCTACAATCGACCATTCATCTCTGTTTATAATGCCTGTAACTTGATGACAATATCGAGACAATCCTCACAGGATGTACACAGGCGTAAAAGTGACTTATCAGTTTTAGTCGTAAACGTCAATGGGAAGATTCAAACAACTAATAGAAATGAATCAAACTTCACCGCATTGCACAAGGTAGTAGCTATCTGGACTCACTAGCTAAGTGAATAATGCAATGGCGTTTGAATCCAACGCTGCTGGGTTCAAGTCACGGAGTGTACATCTACCCTGGTATTCAGGTATATTTATCCAACGGGTCCAAAATAGGATAGGTAAGATATAAGATTTCTCATTTGTACGTCTCTCCTTAGTAGTTTAATTTATGTTTATTTAAATATTAATGAAATGAGCAGATGAGAATCGTAGTAGTGACATGATCACAGGAATTCGTCGCTCTTATTTAATGTCGATAGGTAGGAAGTGGTATTTATATTTTTGTGTTTTGTTCCGTTAATTGTATATATAATTTACGTAATAAAAATATGCTAGAATGAAATCAATTTAAAACGATTTTTGTAATTAGTCGCTAAATGCTTTCGACATAGATCAATATTATTTCGAAATTTAGAATTACGGAATATCAAATTACCGTTTCGTTAAAACTTGAGAGTCCTCAAAAATATGTTCATTCATGGCTTCCCATAATGTCATGTTCAGTACCTTTATATTTTTCAGCAGTCACTACGTGTTTAGATCCCTAAATCTGAATCCAATATTGGAAAGTCTCAATCGAAGCCTTTTTTCCTTGTATTAAAATTGCCTTAGGACTAAAGAAATGTAAAATATACTTGTTTTATAGAACAGCTATACTATGTGTAGCAGTCGTAATTAGGACACATATTTCGTCCCTCCTGGGACTCATCATCTGGATACGCCTACAATTTAATGTTGATGTTCATATTAGTATTTAAACTCATTGCATTTCGCTTCAAACAGCAAGACATTGTCTATTGAGATACTGAGTTCAGACAATCGCTAACATGTTCAATAGGTATGGCGTTATGTATTATTATTATTATTACTACTAATGCTATTATTACTATTATTTCAGAACGGGATTTGTGGAGATTTCAGTATATTTCAAAGTTGAAATGATGAGTCAATTGAAGCTAGACCACCATCGAAAACTTGGAAGCACTGGACGGCCTGGTAGGTCCTGGGTTCGAATCCCGCTAGTGCGGGATCGTGGGTGCGCACTGCTGAGGAGTTCCATAATAGGACGAAACGGCCGTCCAGTGCTTCCAGGTATTCGATGGTGGTCTAGCTTCAATTGACTCATCATTTCAACTTTGAACTATTATTTCACTCTCATGCATTAATTCCTGTTCATCGCTATTCTTTTGTTACTATAAACACTTTATATTCTCGATCTCTTCACAACCTCATTGCTATTATGTGGCTCATGCATTTAGTGCCCCCTTGTACCAATGTTCATGTATTCAAATAAATAAATCTTAAATTGTATAATTGGTACACACTAAGCAATTGACAAAACAATTTTGTGCATTTAACTATAAATTATCTTTGAATTAGTCGTTCAAATTATGACTGAAACGAAATTGATTTTATAATTGTAATTTTCATACTAATTTAAATTACTTCCGTTCAAAGTTCTTCTGAATTTTGAAATTGGTGAATTGATTCATTTCAATAAGGTTAATTGGAATTCTTTATTCTAACATATTTCTTTCATACATTTCTTATGGCAAAGCTAACCAATATTGTGGACATATCATTTTAATCATTCAGTTTGGTAGTAACAAAAGAGATGGTCTCTCAACGTATGTTTAACGATAGATCGTACTAGATAGATATTATTGATTTTTTAGTTGAGAATGGAACTATTTCAATTCCACCTTTCAGTAGCAACCATTTTCGATAGCAAGTATAATGTAGGGAAAAAGTCGATTACTTTGTCGCTTGATTGAGTAAATGGTTGTTTAAATATGTGTTGCATATTCTTAGGAAATGATGAAGTTGGTAACTCACTCACTATGACAGTGCTAGAATAAAGCAATAAAAAGATCACAGAATAGCAACAAAAGAAAACACATATAATTCGAGTCTGTACAAACCATGTTGTAAGATGATTGGAACAGTGAATAGTAACTTAATTTCTAAGTACAGAGGTTGTTGGTAAATTCATAATGAATTTTTTAAACTGCTAATTGCAATACTGTCAAGAATGAAACGACTTGTAGTGGATTCAATGGAAAACCTCACGCTCTACAATCTGCCTATCGATATTGCTCATCATTGAAGTTGAACTGTTTATTTAGAGTAAATCTCAGTATAAGTTCTTTTTAGTAAACATTAAGCATTCCATGATCTATCCCATTAATGTTGATATAGTTCCAATTAAAACCTACTGTCTCTTATTAACTGTACATTCGTAAATAACCAATTAACATCTCTTAAAGCTTTCATCTTATTGAAAACGTTTACATTACTTACAAACTTGTCTAAGAATTTGTTCACTTTTATGAGTTATCTACTTTTCAATCGAGTAGTACGGTGATCCAGCCATATTTCGAATAGGACGATTAGCTAATCTATTCTTATATACCTTAGATAAGTTGTATACTCTGTATATTCTAGAAGCTGGTAATTCCAGGTCTTTTTTTAATTACTCAGATTTTATTGTAAATTAGTGTTTAATCTCCTTAAGGCAGCTACAAACTGTTACTGATTTAGCGATATCCCTTCATCGGGCCTCAGTTTAAGATATGTTACTATGACGCATTATTAGTATTAGTCTTTATTTGAAAAATATTCACCCATTTTATTTTTCCTTCAAGTAGAAATCGATATTTATAAATATTATGTATTTAGTAGATACATATCTATTGTACTCATGAAAGATTGTTTTTTCGTTTACTCAAGGGTCAGTTAATCACAGTCAAAATGAAATTAGATACGTTTGAAATTCGAACAAGATCACAACTCCTACCAGATTACACTAATCATACAGAGATTATTAATTCGTTTGGCCGTGAATTATTGCGTGAAGAAATGGTAGCCTTTAAATCAAATCCAGCTGTAAATAAACCACTTACTTTACGTCTTATGGGTAAGAAGTTTAAGGTTCTTTTGTCTTCACAAAATATACATGAATCTGCTCTTTTTTAAACCTTATTTCCACAATAAATAAATAGAGAAGTGTGTTTGAATTTCATAGGTTTCTGTAGTGCTTGTTTTCCTTTGTTGCTTTTTAATCAAGTACACCTGGGACTCCTGAGCAGTGCACATCCACGATCCCGCACGTGGGATTCGAACCCGAGACCTTCAATCTCACGCGTGAACGTCTAACCTCTAGACCTCCAATTTTATCAAGAGATTCCCATTAAAATATTGATCTTTAGATAAATAAACAAAAAACTGATTCTTTAATCTGTAATTATCATACTAGAAATTAAGTCTATTACTCAAATAATTTAACATTTAGTATAAACAGTCCTACTGTGTACTGTGTATATTAAATAATGAACACGGCGTGGATTCTCTACCTAATTCCGTAGATTCAGAAGAAGAAGAGAAATGTAGTTTCAAAGTTGATAAAATATCCTTTCTTTTCAAACTTAGAATCAACTCTTATATCGATATATAGATGGTAAAAAATAAATGTTCTGATTGTGAGGGACTCTCGAGATTAGTTTAGTTTGTTGAGGGTTCTCTATGTGGGATTTACATCAATTAGGATAATATTGAAACTCAGGTTTATTGTACATACATATTTCGTTCTAGTATGTGGAACTTCACCAATGCATACTCATAGCTCCATCGAGGACAGAAACCCGGACCTTTTTGGGCGATGTTTACTTGTTTAGGAGTAATTCGAAATACAGCTAGAAGCGGCCACACCAAAGCGTTTCATCAGTCAATAAAATCATTAATTATCGTTTGAGGCGTATGGGTGTGTGCAGACTATATGCTTTTTCTAACTCAAAGATAAGATAAGCAGTTAGAGCTTTCATAGTTTTTAAAAGCTAATAAACAAGACCGGCTGAAATAAATCAATAGAGAGACGTTTTTCTGCGTCGATTCGGTAATAAAAAGAATGTTGAAAATAAGAAAAAAGGTCATTAATTTGTACTTCCTCAACATTCCAATTACACTTATACTTCTTTTGTTACCATTTTTCTAGGCTTACGTATGTCCAATTTATTACCAGTAGAAATGTGTCCACAAATTCGTCAACGTAGTGTTGAGGAAGCTTTTATGTTTGCAATAACAAGCAATAATAATAATCCTGAAAAAAATCCCAGTACAATTTCTAAAACTTTGTTAAATACAGAAACATCTATTAAATCGCATAACATGATATCTTCACCAAAATCAGTTGAATCAACAAAAACTAAACTGAAGAAGTTAACAAAATCTAGTCAGAAAAATGATAAAAAGAAAATAGTCGGTTGTAATTCTTCTTCATTGGTAAGTTTATTCATGGAAAACTTTATAATAAAACACAATTTGTGTTATAAATTTTTTTTTAAGCAGTAATCTGATAATCTTTCGTGTTAATTACTTCATGTATCAAACATTGTATGAACTACTAAGAAAGCACTAAAAATATGTTTCACAAAAGTTAGACTGGGCTGATTATTATAATTCCATTAAAGTGATGACATTCAATAGTCAATTCCTTTTTCAAATCAAACTAATATTACTATTAATAATATTTCTTGTTTTATTCATTACTATCTGTTTACTTACTGGTTTCACAGGTGTAGTGTCTATCTACCAAAAAGATACCGAGTATGGTACTCAGGAGTCCATTCTATATTACTTTATGACTGTGAAACATGGACTTAAACATAGAAAACATGTGTAGGCTGTACGTTCTTGATTTTTTATGTGCTAAGTATTTCTTGTGTTTCATGAACAGCGTTGAAGTTAAGCATAGTGTACTAGGGAAAGTTGGTTAATGAGATTGTAAATCTTCATAGACTGAAATGATTAAAACTTATGTTACGTTTAGTTTAATCATCGTCTACCTTTAAGTAGGTTATTTGCTCGTGTAGGTGTGGTTAGCCATAGCCGAATTAAGACAGCATCAGTCTATGGAGTTATTATTTTTTAGTTTGAGCTGTGTTGGCAGATGCATATTACCTGGTGGGGTTTCGCGAAATAGTCATGATTGTTGGTTGGAGTCTTTAAGTATCATATTTCAGAATCGTTCACAATAGCTCATACGGATTTTTTCTTTATCATATACATAGTTCCTTTTATTATCTTAAAGGAAACAAAACAAAGATTGGTGCAGAATAATATGATTTCATCTTATTTTGTTAGGTTCTCTTCATCTGCTCAGAGTTATTACAGATATCGAAATACTCATAAATACTAAGGTGATTAGAGATGAATATGTACATCACGATGTATCAAAGATTCCGACAAAGTCAATAATGCCATAAAAATTTTGTTTCAAACAAATAAAGTATGAGAGGGAAAGTTTCAGAACATTTAACCAGTGATTAAAAGTCATAGAGTTAACAAACATTAAATGATTGTGTAATGAAGTAACTGAAAATATATTGATGGTCATAAAGAAAGATATGAGTTGAAACCAGTCAATTGAAAACTAAAGGAAAATGTCAGTGATGTAATTTAAACTTTAGAAAGAGTTGATATGATGAGTGATGCAATAAAAACGATGTAATGTTACCATAGCAAATAAAGGTATATTAATTTTTGTTTCTGAACACAAGTCTGGTTTCGGACGTTCGATTGCTATAGCTTCGCTAAATTTTAGAAGGTCAGAGTTTGATTGTTTAATAATCACCTTGAAAGACTTCACTATATCAAGTGGTTGAATACTTCAGTGTAATACCATTTCAACTAAACACTGGCTCTACAGGGTGCTAAATTCGGAGAAATAAAAGTAGTTACTTTAATAAAATAAGCGGTTAACACATTGACTTCACTCAGTCAGTCAGTCAGTCACAACGTAGAACTTCGTACGTACGTACATCAGTTCGAGTTGCCATACCACATTAGCACAGAGATGCAGTTGTCGATTCAAATCCCATAGTGGTAGAAGTAGTAGGAGTATAATCAGAAATCCAAAAGATTAGGGTTTGAAGAAATTATTGAAGGAGTATAGTACAGTGAAATAAATTTGGAAAGAGAAAAACATAAAGACATGAGGAATTCAGAAGATTAGAATTTGGTAGAACACAAAGAGTGGATGCATCTTCGCCATTGCAAACGATTTTGAGCCATGTCATTCAAGGTCTCTAACCATCGGTTGCTGTCATCTCGCGAATCACAACCAGGTAGTCTACACCTACCAACATGGCCCAGTCCACTTGTCAGTGACTTCATTGATTTGTGCCACGTTTTGGTCTGGCCACCTCTAGCTTTCTTCCAACCTACTCCTACACCATGAAACATTGCACGTCGGGGCGGTCGGTGGTCGGGCATACGTAACACATGTCCCAGCCATCTCAACTGATGAAGTTTCACTACTTCATCAATCGATTTGCCATCCCTACCTAGCACTCGTTTCCTAACAACTGCATTACTTACCCGGTGGTCCCAGGATATACGAGCAATGCTTCGAAGACACCTATGATCGAACACTAGTAGTCTACGAATATCCTCTACTCTTATTGACCATGTTTCACTGCCATAAAGTAGGACGGAGCGAACTGCTGCACAGTAAACCCGTCCTTTGGTTGCTAGACGGATATCTCGCCTACTCCATAAATGACGCAAGTTGGCGAAAGCTAGACGAGCCTTCTATATCCGTGCTGAGATTTCGTCACATACCAGACCACAAGGGCTGATGAGACTCCCAAGATAAGTGAAGCTGTCAACATGCTCAACAACTTCACTCCCTATCATTAGTTCAGGTGTCGATGCAACCCAATCCTGAAGTAACATTTTGCACTTCGAGGAAGAGAATCGCATTCCGAACATGCCTGCATAGTTGCTTATAGTAGTCAGAAGACTCTGCATGTTGTCAGCGTCTTCACCGAGTAAAACTATGTCGTCGGCGTATTCTAAGTCAACAAGTGAGCCTCCTGGTAACAGTTCAACTCCTGGAGGTTTAGCTGATGAAAGTGCTATCTCTAAAAGTATGCCAATTACAAAGTTAAACAAGAATGGGGAGAGTGGACAGCCCTGACGAACGCCACTTGTGGTAATCAGTTCTGATGACAGTTCGCCATAGGCTCTAACTCGACCAGTTGTTTTCGAGTAGAGAGTCTGTACAGGGTTAATGTACTTCTTCGGTACTCCTTTCAGTGACAAACATTGCCATAGAACCTCACGATCAACGGAGTCAAATGCCGCCTTAAGGTCAAGAAATACTACTATTGTGGGACGTCTGAATTTGTGTCTATGTTCTAGGACCTGACGTAGTGTGAATATCTGGTCTATGCAACCACGTCCAGGTCGAAAACCAGCTTGGTTTTCTCTAGTCTGCTCTTCACGAGCTTTGGTTAGGCGACCTAGTATTATTGAAGCTAATATTTTAGACACTATATTAGTCAAACTGATCCCTCTGTGATTGTCACAAGAGTACTTTTGTCCTTTCTTATAGACTGGCACAATCAGTGATTGGGACCAGTCAGATGGAATTTGATACACTTATTCTCTATCTTATACTTTTAAAGGATAATGTTATTTCATACTTCTCACTTGTTTTGATTCCTATCCTACTGGTTTTCTTCTATTTGTGTTGACATGAATTTTGAGAACTGAACAATATTTGTCTTATTTTCTACACTAATTATATCTTTCTGTCTTCATGGGCTTTTGATAAATGTGTACACTCTCACTACTCTCTGTCAGGAAAAAAGGTAATCGAATTAACCACGTAATGCAATAATATATAGACTTTTCATTTTTTGCGTCTGGAATCATTAATGTGGTATTTATTTATTTATGTCACAGCCTTTACACACTGATAGTTTGACTAAATGGTCCAAACACCTGATTGAGAATAAAACGACTGTGGGTTTTCTTTTTTTTATCCCTAACGATAAATTCTGAGGATATGACCATAAATGTAGGAAAAAAGTCATTGGTTTACATGTTACCGAAATATATCCTCGATAAGTGTACACTTCTTCGCCCCAATATGTGAAGATATAACAAATTATATCTGACTATAACTTGTTATGGAGTGATTACTAGAGCTCACTGTTATTTCAAAGGTAATCATCGTATGAATTCTTGACTTTTATTATCCATCTTAAAACCATTATAACCAATAATATCATTTCTAAAATTACGTTTTATTATTGAGCAAAATTTTTGAACAATCTGAAGGAATAAGGTGGTGAAAACTGTTCTTCAATGAGTGGGCGAGTGTGAATGGTAAATTTGAACCATAGTTGTTTTAATATTATTCCAAACACGTAGTTGAATCGCATAACGCTTGATATTCATCTAAAGCTGTTTTGACGTTTTTGCTTAAGTTCGAAGACTCTTCGAATGATGATTTTGTGTTAAATGAATGTTGAAACTGGAAAACATTTATTTTCATCATAACTCTTGAGTGTTCAGAATAATTAAAGGTATTACTATGATTTATGTAGCTCAACTTTAGTGTTTAAGTCATAGGTCCGAGCATCACAATTACATTTCTTTTCTCAGTTGACTTGTCATCTCGAAACTTTATTTCATATGTGTTGTTGTAGAGTAGATTCATGATTGGTTTTATCTTGTTCGCTGATTGAGGTAATATTGTCCACATTGTTTATTCAGCCATACAAACCAGATTTTACTCACTTCAGCACAAAATATATAAGTGGTGCATTTGGGTTATAATTGAGTTTACAAATCTGCTAATTGTTGGTTTGTCTTCCCATTATTTCACTTCGTCCTGTTTTGTTTACTACACTACTTATGAATCATCACATACTTTATTGCAATTTATACGCGTAATACTTTTCGGAACTTCCTTCTGAGCTTCCACTTAGAACTTTGGGATACAAGACGATTAATTAGAAGTATCTTATGACTTCTATTCAAAATTCATACAATTATACAAATGAAACTACAATGTACCATCTCATTAGATATATGACAGATTCTTTAAATAAAATTCAACGTATTTGAATCTTCAAACATGACAAAGTGACCATTTTCAAAGCGATATGACCATTTTGTCCATCTCTTTTGATTGATTTTTTCAAATTGTGAATAAACTATTCAATGTTGTTCATTAGCTATCATAGATGCTTTCATAAATTTTATTGCTAAAATTATACAGATTACACAATGGACTAAACCTGCTCCATTACCTACTGATAATGAAGTTGGTTCACCATCTTCGTCCATCTCATTAAATTTACCACTTGAACCGTCGTCATCCTCGTTAGCATCAGCCTCATCTTCTAATAACAATGTTGGTTACTTTTTTAAATGTCCCGTCTGTGAAAGAGATTTTCGATTTTCTTCAGAAGACAAGGTCAGTCAGTTTATATATTTAAAGAATTTGTTTTTTCAAAGAGATAAAATGTCCTTTACTTCTAACAGATTTGTTTAAATCAAGGTCATATATTATGATTACTTTAAATTGTTTAAATATCTATGTAACAACGTTAATAAAAGAAAACTTTCAGATTGTTTTACATATCACGATGAACAAGTTTCTGTCGATAGAATTTGTTGAATAAATTGATCATTAAACAATTTGGTGTACATTCCAGTCTGTCTATGAAATTTACAATAATACCTTAGCAACTATTCAGCTTATGTAAGAAATTATAATAATTATGTGATATAAATGTGATTATTTATGTGTCACATCAATATTTTATGATAAGTAACTAGGCGATGAAGTAGAAAAAAATGTTTATCGTTTCTTTTGGATTTTAAGGCTACGTTTTTGTGAATAGTGTCATTTTTCTCAACTTTTTTTTGACTTTATATTGTATACAAATTCCTTTGTTCTTTTTTTTGCAATGTCATTTTTAAAGTTAGTCTAGATATTTGGGCTAAAGCGGTTGCAAGAATAGTCAAATTTTATTAGAAAGGCTAAAATCTCTTCAGAAACGATAATCGCTCTCACACTTTCTACCAACTCGATTTTCCTCATAACATTTGTCCTCTGAATGGTTTTTATGCTATTTTAGTTCGTTAAATTGCTACATGCTCGGAAGTCATTTCCTGCTACCATAGTAACAACTTTTGCATCAATTTCGTTTGAGTTGCTTGTAATAACACAAATATCAAGTTACTTGCAATTCTTCTTCTTGCTGTGTTACTTGTCAAGGTTTAATATATTGAGTACATTTGACTGTTGTCAGTTCTGAAGAGAACCAATCGTAATATAGTAGTTCAATCATTTCCGTCCCTAGATCAGTAACATCTTAGGATGTATTGAATCCCAATAACAAGACACGACAATTTGTCAAGTCTGTCCTTATGTTTCATAGTTATCGTTTAAGTTATAGTACCATATGACATTTTTGTTAAATTTCCACTCAATTTTAAGTAAAGGTTCTTGTCACATTCTTTTATATGCTGTAAAGTATAAACAGATGACTATTAGTTCTTTTAATAAGTTTGAGCAAACCAAGATTACTAGATATAGGACCTTTTGTCTAAAGTAGAGCGAATAGTTTCACAGTATTTGATGTAAGACATTAAATAGGAATAATATATATTTGTAAAATCTCAGCGAGTGATATTCAATAATTTTGATGTTTGATTATATTTCCTTGAAAAAGCTTTGATCGGATTGCCAGGCTAAACGTTGGATTTACTTCAAATTCATTCGCTGAGACTTTAGAAATATATTCTTTATATTAAATGTCAAGATTACTAGACTTTTATAATTATTTGAAAGAACTTTCGCCTAAATTGAAATAAATAGTTTTACAGTAATTGAGTGTTGAATCAATGTAAGACATTAAGAAGAAAAACCATTTAAAAATTTAAGTAAATACATAAATCCAATGATATGGAGAGCCAATCAGAAGTGGCTTAATGAGAAGGTTGATCGATGGCAATCAGAAGTGTTCTAAAGGTCAAATAAAAAATGCCCCCAAATGCCCTGGCAAGGCCGAGAGTGGGGAGAGTTTGCTCTCCCTCTCGAAATGCTCTCACATGGCCGCGCGTATACAGCCTCTGTCAGGGAAGTCCTACTCACTGCCTTCTCGCTCCACGGTTGTTGTTTACGAAATTGACATCTCCTTACGATGCTCCACTGCCTTGTGGATCGGATCTTTAGGTCAAAGGCTCGGGGTGTGGCCCCCTAAGAGAACCACCTACTTCAGTTTGAGCACCTGGGTAGTATCACAACCCACACACAAATCAAATGAGATTTATGTGGCGCATATATTAATTTAATTTCAATTAATTTTATCAGTTTTTGTAATTTAAATTATTTTTTTAAAATTGTTTTTACATTTATAGTTCAATTATCATTTGGACGAGTGTTTAAATAGATCAGCTATTTTAGAAGTAGTCAAAGAAACTTTAACAAATCATCAATTATCTGAAAGAGATGATTGTTCAACTATATCACAGTCTAATCATTTGAATTCATCACCAAATGATATTGGTATTCGGTAAGATAATTCGTTGAACTCAATTATATATATATTCCTCATCTAACAGTTCACTGCCTCGGTTTGATCACCCGGGCAGTATCTCAGCCCTCGCATATATCAAATGAGATTTTTGTGGCGCATTTGTATTCTGTGCCCCCTTTGTACCAATATTTATGTGTCTAAATAAATAAACATTTAACAATTCAGTGACTAGTCATGTTTGAATGATAGTTTATATTGAGGATATTATGTTTTCTAATCTAATCTAATTTTGAGTATAATCTAATTATTCTCTTTGAGTAATTTTGATAAAGTGTAAATGTCAACTGTTTAAGGTGTAGCTTGCAGAAATTGTATCGCTTAATTATGAAATAAAAATACATAGTGATCAAAATGATTTATAGGAAAAAAATGGAATTGAAAGAAACTGAGTTAAACGAATTACGTAATTAATTTAGTTGTTCTTACTTATAATTTAATGAAACTACGACAAGGGATATGATGGTAAACAATACCAAAAAAAGTCTTCAACAGGGTATTGTTAAACAGAATGAAGGATTCCGTGGACGCCCAACTTCGAGATCAACAAGCTGGATTTCGTAAGGATCGATCGTGTACAGACCAAATCGCAATCAATTGAATGGAATTCATCACTCTACACAAACTTCATTGACTACGAGAAAGCATTTGATAGCATGGACAGGACAAAACTATGGAGGCTTCTTTGACACTACGGCGTGCCTGAGAAGATAGTCAATATCAAGAAATCAGAAAGAAGCGCTGGAAGTGTATAGAGCACACTTTGAAGAAATCACCTAATTGCGTCACAAGACAAGCCCTCACATTTAATCTTAAAAGTCAAAGGAGAAGAGGAAGACCAAAGAACACATTACGCTGAGAAATGGAGACAGACATGAGAAGAATGAACAAAAACTGGATAGAACTAGAAAAGAAATCCCAGGACAGAGTGGGTTGGAGAATGCTGGTCGGCGGCCTATGCTCCATTTGGAGTAACAGGCGTAAGTAAGTAAGTAAACAAATGGTATGTTAGAAAATTCTACTTTTTGTTATAGTTACTAGAATGAAAACTGAAACAATTGTACTCTTATTCTCAAACTTTTGAGAAGTGGATAAATCATGAAATATAAATAAAAATAATTAACTCATTCACTAGTTACTTGGGTTTGAGCCATTCTCTGAATCAATCTATTATGTTCTGAAAGTAGTGTAGAAAGCGAAATCGATACATCAAAGAACATGCTACGAAATAACGGCTATGCAGATAATTTCGTCAGAAAATTCCTAGTAGAAGGTAATAAAAAAGAAAGTGTGACTCAGTCAGTTAATAAACCCTGTATGTGAAACTAGACTTTATAGGGAACATAGCGGGTGACATTTCAACACGTCGACTCAAAAGATCTGTTGAAAGGACGTTTCCCGTCGCCAAGTTAAATATAATTTTCTCCGCCTTTACATCCATCTTTCCCAATTTACATGAATCATTTTTTATCGTAATTACCTTGATAACACCCCTCTTATTACATATTATATTCACGTAACGACATTATCCTCGTACTATGCATTTTATTCACACGTTTTTTTCTCTCCATTTTCATTTTGTTATATTACCATTATAACAAACTGTAGTCGACGCTTCGTGTTACCTTCTGGATTTATATACCAATAGGATTTATTTTATAACGTTTATTCAGATGATTGATAAACTAAGCTTAAGGAACTGTCTCAATACCAAGCCACTACATTCTGTCCATTTATTTCAGTTCAAGTTAAAAAAAAGCTTAATTCATATTATTCATACCCAGTTATTGAGATCAAAATCTTTAAGTCGATGTCATGGTTTACTCTATTATCATTATCAAGGCAAATTTTTATTTCAAAATCATAAAAATAACTCGTTGTTATTGCTTTTTCTTTTCTCTAATCAATTCTATCACTTTTCTCTTTTCCTTTTTATTTCTATGATATATCGTTTAAAGAAAGCCAAAATTGCAAAAACTTGAAAGCAAACAATCCGAAAACAGTAACCCATCAACAACAAAGACAATGACAACAACAACTAGTCATGGACCTCTTGATAGATTTATTTTTAATTTATCTATTGTACAGTTTGATGAAAATTATATATGAAATTCCAAAATAGAAGTTATTTACTACTTATTCATTGTGATTATGATTATTTGAGTAGTTTCAATCGTTACAATAGTTTACAAACTCTGTATTATTTTTCTTATTGTTTTCTATGAACTACCCGTTGAACCAACAGTGAAATAGTTTGTTTAAATTAGGGATAAACACTGAATTCCTTTCATTGTTCATCTTGCATTGACAGCAAATTTTCATATTCCGTTTTATTCATTTATTTTTCATAGTAAACTATAGCCTTTGTTTTGTTTCTTTTTCTAATACTAAGACTATTGAAAGTCGTTAATAATTTCTACAGATTACATATCTATTTTCTTATAATTTACCAACGATATTCATGTATTTAGTATTTTGTCATGCATTTACAAATAAAGTTTTCAACTGATCTAGTTCATATTTATACTTATACTGATACATCCAGCTGACGAGTCCCAAACAGGACGAAACGCGCGTCCTGGATTTCACTGCTAGCCGCTATCCATTTCTGCTTACCATGCTTGTGAATTAAGGCTATATCGAGGCAATACACACAGTATGCACATATGCCAATTAGAGACTGACCAGTTGTAATCCTGACACATCGATGGGAAGATTCAAAGAAACAATATTAAATGAATTTGATAGTCGTTGTTTTATCCATTATAATTTACAGTAATCCCTTAGATTGTTTAATAATGTGGGGTTATCGTACACTTGAGGTTATCAAAAGATCAATAAGAAACTTTCAGGTATAGATAAACTGAAAGATTATTGAAAAAGAAGGCAACAGGATGATAAGCCTTGTTAATTGAATGCTATATTCAGATCGTAAGCTATTCTCGTAACCCTCAAACTAGGACTACACACCTACGTGAACACAAGAGAAAAGGGGCAAAATATGCGAGAAGCACTTTACTCCAAAGGTTTATTTATGTACAGAAAATATAGGGTGTTTATAGTATTTTAGAAGTCCTTGGGTTTTCCTGAAAATTCTAGAATACCACTAAACATAGTAGCAGTGTAGTAATCAGCCAATCAGAAACTCTGCTTGTGACTTCATTTTTGCCATATTTCTAGAAAGACTTCTAATCAAACGCTGATTGGATAAAACGCTTCTCACTGTTTCCTAAGGTTGTCATGTCTATTACGAGAAATTTTCAGGATCATCCCAACATCTCCCCCCTTTCATGAAATAAGACTTATTCTTCGGGTCTACTTGCAGCTTGATAACAGGTTTTCTGCGACGTTCGGACGACCTTGGTATCCAGTGTCTATGGGTGTCTGTTGAGGTTCCTGTCACTGGAGTATGTGATAATTTTAAAGTGTCTGGTTTAATTTCCAACACGTTTAAAATAAAAATATGCGTACAAATTGTTTAAGTATTAGGCGGATAGGTATTATGAAAATAAATGATTTAGTACAGATGTATTTCTAAAAATGAAATCAAAATGCATAGCATTAACAGCTGAGTGAGTTTATAATATTTGAACGAACCAATCAGATATAAGATAACAGGATTAAGATTTCGGCACGAAATTCATTCATTTGACTAAATAGGGTTTTGGGGTTTTTGCTAACATCATCTCGTGATGAAAGCCGTATCATTCGTTCATTTGGCTAAGTAGCGTATTGACGTTTCAGCTAACGTCAGCTTGTAATGAAAACCCTAAATTTAATTCCTAACACTAACCATCAACTATAAATAATAATTCTAATTCCTCACACTGGTTTACAACCCTCCTTTGGTCCTAGTTTGTAGGTGGACATTCTCAGAATGACATTGGCATCGCTCGAACGTCGTCCATAAATTATAGTCTCACCAGCCAGAGTTCAACAGTTTATCGTATGGACAGTACAAGTATTTTGTGCTGACATTCGTAATAATCAAATAGAAAAACAGTCAATGTGGTGGAAAATTTATAATAGCACTATCTTTGTTTTAAATGAGAGAGTCAGTCATTGTTTATACTGTTTTTATATGTTGATTTTTGATTTCATTTGTATTAGTAGGTTAACTGAAGGAATTGAAGTATAACGGTGAACAATCTCAGCTAATGTTTCAGTTAGTTTGATACAGTTTGCTTAAGCATAGCTCATTTAGTTACGGGGAGATTCGTTTCACCTGATTACTGATAGTGTTTTTGTTTTACAGATAACATGACGTTTAGTTTGATGTGTTTTAAATAGTAGTTTTATTTTGGAATTACAAATAAAATGATGTCTGGCTAGAAAGTTTCAACTGGCATGAACATATCACATATTTGGATTGTCGAAATCAATTACCTACTAAAATAAAACACTTCAATCATTATTAACTCATAATGATTGCATAAAAAAATTTCTAGTTCACTGATTGTTAGTCTGACGGGTAATGGTATTTTAGGGCCTCCTTAAATCTATCTGTCATCTAACTTTCAATCAATGTATTGTTTTTAAGTATATTTGTCAAGACTGATAATAACGACATAAAGTTATTCAACTAATAGTAATATGAGCCAAGAGAGTTTAATCTGAGTGACACATACGAATATGTAAAATAGATGACATTTAAAATGATAGATTAACTCCTAATGATCAAGAATTTCGGTTTTGGCATCTTATTTCCTTTTATTTAACACCAACTGTAAACGTAATGACTGTCAAGATATGAACTTAAATTTTAAAAAAACAACAACATAAAACTGTCAAATATGAAGAAGCGGAGAACTATTTGCCAATATTTAGTTACCTGTAAATTTTATTGAATATGGAAATCATACCAAAGTTTCGTTTCATATTTCATTAGTTAGTTAGTGAGTAATAGACATTATGAAACTCTGTTTCTAACATGTGATCATGACTGACAATTCGTTTCGTAAAATTAATCACAATATTTCGATGTTTAGTGTTTAAATGAGATGTTATTATTAATAGCAATGATAACAAAACGATGTTTAATTATTATTTTTTATTAGTTGTTTGAATCTTCCCATTGATATTTAGGACTTCCATAGTTCAGTTTCTTATTGGCACAAGTGCATACTGGATTCGACTACCGGACTGAAGATCAACCATGGGATGCAGGTTGTTATTATCCCTTGGAGATTTATGAATGATAATTTTGAGAACTATTTATGGACCAATATGATATGTATATTTCCTATTGTATAATTGTTAAGTAACTTGAGTATTCATATTGATGTTCCTTTTATTATGAGCTTTATTTCGACCTATAGACACTTACTGTACGATTTACCATTCCTGAGTTATATCCAGTCTATTAATTACTGTTCCCTCTATTCACAACCACATTTGGCCAAATCTTGTACAAATGTTTTCTATTTTATGGTACGATGTGGTCAGTTTGTTTGGTATATAAACTCAGTATGTTTGAGGATAATGATTCATATTGCAGAGGCTGTTATTGGTGTTTTGGACTTAACTGACTGGGATAGGCAGATAGCAGGACTGATAAATAATCAAGACTGGTCATACGGTTTTTGTATATCACTGGACCGATCGATAATTCACTGCTCTCTAATTGGCAGTCTCATAACGTCATATATATCAACTGGGCAAGAACGCACTCAATCGATATAACACAGGTAATCCTGTGTTATATCGTTCTGAACAGGACGAAACGCGCGTCTTCGATCCCACTGCTAGACATTTCTGCCTAAAATGTCGTTTATTTGTAAATTGTAATTTTATAGACATAATCATCCGATATGTATTTATCATCAAAGTAAAATTTGTTATTTCACTTTACTCTATTATTCAAACGATTTAAAATTTTCATAAGGAATTTTACCTTACTATTTAGTTTAACTAATCTGTTGATTGACTTCAAAACGGTTATTTGATCTAATGTTATTCAAATGGTGTAAATAACTTTGTGAGTTTAGATAACAGCTGATTATTGGTTGGACAAAATAAAGTAAAATAAAGTAAATTCTTTAAAACTACTTTTGCTTTTATTTCATTAATTTATATTTTCTTGAATCTTATCTTTGATACCTAATCTTTTCTATCACCACTTATGCTATTACTACCTCTAGAATTTTGGGATTTGGCCCGACGATTTTATCTCTCTCTGCTAATTGGATATGGAAATTTGAATTGATGTACATATGTACTAGGTTTTACGTTGTGACTGACTGACTCTGAAATATAGTATTTTAAGAAGTAATACAGAGTTATCGAAACTTTTGTACACATCCGTTTCTTCAGTAGCAGAGTCATTTCGTGTTAGGAAATAAATTCCTCACTTTTAAGTGCACTAAACTTAAGAGCCATATACTACTTCATACTAAAGACTTTGGGACATATTTAGTGTGTAAAAGATAGAGAAACTGCCATTCAGTTAGTCAGCTTTCCTAAATGGAAGTCAGGTTCTGGAACTTTTAGAAAAGTGACACGCTATTTCGTGACAAGAAGGCGTTCCATAGGTATCCATTACTTTCTCGTTTTTGATAGCTTTCATGCTGATGTTAGTTCTTGATAAAAAGTATTTTACTACGAAGAGTTGTGTAACGATATGTTTTATCTTTATTATTGTTTCATCGCTTTTCGAGAATATTTCTTTGAATTTCATACTTTAGTGGAAGTATACTTCAGCTTAAATTTCTAACATTAGGAGAATTATGTTACGTGTTATATTCTTACACTTCTGTGTTTTTTAATGTTACGACATACCATCAAGTCGATTTGTGAAATAGTATCATCTACATTTATTGTTATTGGATAGCTTCCGTTTATTACCTGACTTGGTTAAATATACAGGTGGGAATTTCTTTTAAGAACTTCAGAACATCTATATTGAAAATTTAGTGAAGTTCAAATTCACTTGGTATTGTTTGCTTAAATCTTCCCATTGATGTTTAGGAGTGCAGTTGATCAGTCTCTTATTGACATATGTGTATACTGTGCATATTGCCTCGATATAGCCTTAATTCACAAGCGTAATCCACTTAGCTGCTGAGTCCTGATAGCCACTTGCTTGCTCAATGGGGTGAAGTTTAAATTCAATTGGTATTGTTTAGCTGAATCAGTAGCTGAGTGGATAATGCCATGACGTTTGAAGCGAACGGTACTGGGTTCGAGTCCCAGAGTGAACACCAACTCTGAGATGCAGATACACCCAGTTGATAA